CATTTTCAAGGGTGGCTAGTATAACTGTCCAGTCTGAAATATTTGTATTTCATCTTTATCTTGTAGGATATTTTCACAGGGCTCAGAATTCTAGGCGTTTCTTATTTTCTCTCAGTAATTTGAAGATAGCATTCCATTGTCTTCAAGACTCTACTGTTTCTGTTGAGAATTCTGTCGATATGATTTTGGGTCTAAATAGCTCGTTCTTTGAAAGTATGCTATTCTCTCTCCCCACTTCTGGTAGCTTTTGAAATTTTTCTCCTTACCTTTGGTTTCCTACAGGTTTACTAAAATAACCAAAGGTATGGATTTCTTCTTACCCAGCTTGGTGCTAAGTAAGGCTTCTTGAATCTATTCCTTGATAACAGCAGTTATGGAAAGTACCAGTCGGTCTCTTCCACTATCACTTCTGCCCCATTCTCTTTCAACCCTTTGGGACTCCAATTACGCACTTTTTTTCCCCATTTTTAATTATGCTCAATTGGTTTTCTTATTAATAATACACTAGAAAAATACCTGATTTTATTTTTTTAATTGTTCAAGTACAGTTTTCTGCCTTTTCCTCCCACCCCAGCCCACCCCCCAGCCCTCCCCACCTCCCTCAATTACACATCTTTGATCTTTTCAATGTCTCTGTGTCTCCCTCAATCTCTTCGGTAATTTTTCCACTTCACTAATTCTCTCTTCAACTCCACATAATCTTCTTTTGAACTCATCCAATAATGTTCTAGTTTTACTTACTGTTCCAAGTCTAGATTTTTCCATTTTCTTTTCTGGAAAGTTTCCAGTTCACTACTGAAAATAGTGAATCTTCTCCTTTGTCTTTTTGAACAAGGTAAGCATAGCTATATGCTTGACTCATAAAAGGTGACTCATAAAAGCTACAATGTAAGAGGCCCCTAGGGATCTAACACTATATTCTATTGCTTCTATTTGATTTTGTTCATGTTGTGTCTGATTTTCTTAATTACAGGATGGATACTATATTATAAAATGTTCGTAGAAATAATTTGAGGCCTAGTATAATGTTATCATCTTCCAAACAGGATTTACATTTGCTTTTTGCCCAGCACCTGAGACAAACACTATACATTAATATCAACCTCTTTTTAGAGTCTAAATATGTTCAAAGTGGAGCCACAGTTCCTCTGAGGGCCTGTCTACCTCCAGTTCACTCTCACCTGTCAGTGGTAGCCCTTCCGGATCCCAACCCCAAATAAGATGGTACAGCAGGGCTGGTGAATTAAATACAGAGTAGATTATTTATAGTGTGCTTCCTTTTATGAAAGGAAAGAGAAGTGCCCTGGCTGGTGTGGTCTGGTCGACTAAGCACCAGCCTGCAAACCAAAGGGTCGTCAGTTTGATTCTCAGTCAGGGCGCATGCCTGAGTTGTGGGCTAGATCCGCAGTAGGGGGTGTGTGTGAGAGGCAGCTACACATTAATATTTCTCTCCCTCTCTCTTCTTCCCTTCCCCTCTGTCTAAAAATAAATAAAATCTTTAAAGAAAAAGAAGAGGAAACAAGAATTGCACACACATACATTTGTGCAAAAAAGACACACAGAAAGTTAGAACTAGTGAGAATGGTGACCTACACAGGTTAAGTTAAAACAGGATGAAAAGACAGCAGGGAAGACTGAGTAACACAAACGGATACGGAGCAACTTCACAGTCAGAATGTGCATGTTCTGACTTTTGAAATGACATTCATGTTTCACATACTCAAAAAAGTCAACATAAAATACGATAAAAATATACTAAAATGCAGTGTAAATAAAAATGAATGATCCTAACTATATTCAAAATGAAAAACACAATATACTAAAGGGATGGGGGAGAACTAACCCAAATAATTTTTTTAGCACAGTATTTAAACCCTAAGGTTAAAGACAAATAAAGAAGTATAAATAAAAATTAAATTCAGCCTGGCTGGAGTAGCTCAGTGGATTGAGCGTGGGCCTGCAAACCAAGGGATCGAGGTTCGATTCCCAGTCAGGGCACATGCCTGGGTTGCAGGCCAGTTCCCAGCGGGGGACACATGAGAGGCAACCACACATTGATGCTTCTCTCCCTCTCTCCTTCCCTTCCCCTCTAAAGATAAATAAATAAAATATATTTTTAAAAAGGTTAATTCTTTTAAAAATAATAAAAATAAATTAAATTCAAATTAATAGTTTTTCACAGAGGTATGCATTAGCAATTCTAAAACTAATTTCTGTATATTCTAGGATTCTACAAATAAGTAAGTATACTGTGGATAACAGCAGTCAGGCTTGTCAATATGAGAAAGAAATTACAAATACCGAAAGTGGAAAGACTAGAATAAAATCTGTGGTATAGAAATGGAAGTAGAGACACCACTATCACTCAGCGGTTTACAATATATGCAGATAGATACAGAAATATAGATATGTCTATATGCATACACATAAACGCACAAATGAATGCGAGTATATGTATCTATTCTAATATTATCTAGCTCTGTGTGCTGAGAGGACCTACAAATACCAATATCCCAGCAGCAGTGAACATATCTAGTACCCAGATCTCGGCTTCTAAATACCGTTCACTGCAAAAGGGATCCAGGGCTCCTCAGAAAAAATGGTCAGTTCTAAGTCTGGCTTAAAAAAAGTACATTATGAGTCTACAAGGGGGTTGGCAAACTACAGCCCACAGGCCAAATCTGGATAGCAACAGTTCTTTACAAATAAAGTTTTATTGGAATACAGCCATGCTCCTTCACTTACAAATTATTCCTGCTGCAAGGGTGGAGTAAGTAGTTGCAACAGAGATTGTATAGTTCACAAAGCCAAAACTATTTACTATCTGGCTACTTACAGAAAAAGTTTGCCAAGCCCTGGGCCTAGAACATCTTCTTGTTCCAAAAAGAAAACACTCAAAAAAGAATGGGGACATGTCAAAAGTTCACAGGAGCCAGTTGAAAAGGTTACTACTGGCCAAATATATGACAATTTGAGGATTAGATTTTTATGTGATGACAGCTTATATTACCCATCAAGTAAGAAAATATGAGTTCATACTGATATAGATAGATAGATACTATATAAATGGAGGGGGGAGCTCTTTCTTACATCAGAACCCCAACTAATAAATGTAGAAAAATTATAGAATCAGAAAATCACCATCAACAATCATAATAATAATTCAGATTCATCGATGAATTCTTAAAACTAGTGGGTAAAAGTTTTGAGGAGTAACAGAATATTAGTCTCAAAGAGCCTCAAAGATCCTCATTAAATACAAAGAGAAAGCGCACCCTCGACCCCAAAGCAGTCTGGCAGACCACCACACCAAGCGGTCGAAGTAGATGCCTGCAAGGGGACCAGTCAGCATCACACACCTCCTGGTACAATGAAAAACATGTCACTTATGAAATGTGAATCAGACCTCCTACAAAATAACTGGCCTATAATCTTTAAAAACGTTAAATTCATAAAAGCTAAAACTGTTCCAGATTAAAGGCAACTGATGACACATGACAACTCTATGCTCCTTGTGATCCAGGATTTTCTTTTCACGTAAAGAGCGTGACTGAGAAACTGAGAACATGTGAATAGGATCTACGGATTACATCAATGGCATTCCATCGATTTTATTTCCTGATTTCAATCATTTCTGTAGGTGTGAAATTATAGTTCCAAAAAGAATCCAAGTCTTTAATTATAAAATCATATCTGTTTTTATAATTAAAATGTTGAGTTACTTTCCTCATGCTAAAGAACATTCCCCAAAACTGACAATTTAACAACTAAAAACAACCCCATAAAAGGGAATACAGACGATGTACTAAAAAAACAAAGTTCAAATAACCAGTTAAAGGACATGTGGGCTACAAAACCATTTCATCCTGTTTCATATGGGCCAAAACAGATTTATTAGCTGCAAGCTCAAATAAAGTGATCTCAAATGAGAGTTATGTCAGTAAAAATACTGCCTCTCAACAGGTCAGAAGTGACTCTACTCACATTTTACAAAATATTTTGAGGATTTAAAAGATTAAATGTCCTGAAAGGGACAACAATCCAGCACTTTTTGCAAACACAGCTGTTGGTTAAAGCTCTTGAGAAAAGAAAAGTTCTGGAATGGGAATCAGTTGTAGGAAGAGATAATGTTATAAAATATTAAGAAAGTTCTGGAATCTTTTCCTATTAATCTAATAGCCGACTTGTTTCTAAACATGTGCTTCGCTGCTCTATGCTGGGACCTCTTCAGGCCCTGAGCAAAGACCAATGAGCTCCATATGACCTGCAAAGCCCCTGCTGTCATAGTACTGACAGTCTAGGGGTGGAGAACCCTGTAATTGGGTACAGCAGTGACACAGACTGATGAGATGGACAGGGAATGACCAATGGATGGGGAACGGGGACACTACTTCAGCTTTGGTCATTAGGAAAAGCCTCTACTGAGAAAAAGTACTGTGGCCAAGGTCCAAATAACGAGAAGTCCCCCACATGAAGGTCTCAGGGTAGAGCCTTCTTGGCAGAGGGCATGACAAGCACAAAAAAAAACAACAAAGGGGAACAATCTCAAGGTGTTCAAGGAAGTTTTTTTTTTTTTTTTTAAAGACATCAGTAATACTCTCAATATTGTAGGTGATACCAAAGAACTGTCGATTTTGGATCAGGTATGGTCATGGCATTGTGACTGTGGATAACAATTTTCATATTGTATCGCGTATATATGTACATGGAAGTACAATAAATGACATCAGTGATTTCTTTAAAACATTTCAGCAAAGGAAAGAGAACTAAAAATGGGATGAATGAGGCAACTGTGCAAAAATTCTTGACTTTGGGAACTAGGTCAATGGGGGCTGGTGAGCTACTCTCTCTAGTTTTTGTGTATTTGAAACTTTCGTGGCAATTTTTAGAAACCCCACAGAACGGAAACTTCATGTTAAAACTAGAAGGTCTTCCTCATGCCTTCTTCCTCCTACTTTCACACCCCAGCTCGGCCCTTTCCACCTCGGTCTTCCACTTACCTCCCGAGGGATGAAAGAAAGCTTTGAGGACAGGGGCACGCTGGACAGGCCCGGAGCTCTGGGCCTGGGTCCAGTTTCTGTGACAGACGGAGCTGATCTACCAAAGGCAGGGCTGGGGCCCAGGGAGAACTAAAACAAGAGAAGATAAAATGAACAGCCACCTACTGGTAAACAGTCATGCTTTCTGAGACGGGGACTGCCTAGACGAAGAAGCACCTTCCCAGAGATTAAAACCCAGTGGGCTTCTTCCCCCTCCATTCCACGGGGACTTCTTTGGCAAGGATCTTCAGACTGAGAAACCCCACTGCCGATTTTCAGTCCCAGTCTCACTTAACCTTGCTGTCGCCCTTGACACAGCTGAACATTTCCCCTCTTCCTGAGCCTCTCTACTTGCTTGGCAGACGTGACAGCAGAGCAAAAGATGACCATACTTCCTTTCAAGGACAAATGTCACATCCACAGCCCCTCCTGAGAGACAACAAGCAGCTTGTGACCCAAGTGACCACTTCTGAAGGGATGAGAAACAGGTCCCTAACCCAACAATCTGTGATTTATAGAATGGTGTGTCGGAAAATTACATTTCTGATAATTTAGTGGAGTCAATATTCTGAAAATCTTTTTGATACCAAATCATAACTGCTGAACAAAATATTACCAACTTCTTCTTGACAGCAGAGTGGAGCTCTCAAAAGAGAAAAGAAAATCCCCCAAAGCAAGCAAGAGCTAGAAACCAAAATATGTCGAAGCCGAAGCTACAGGGACCCTGACATCTTGGTGTCAGTGCCAAGAGACTTATGGTCTAAAGGTGCAGGGGGGACAAGAATTAAGGCTCTGACCACACAAAATGTAGAGAAGTAGAAGTTACCCTGGAAAAAATCAAGACCCACAAAAAGAAACCAACTCAATGAAAGGTGAGCTAGAATAAAAATACACCTCCTGGTGAAGAATCAAGAAATGTGTCTGTTTTTCTTCTGGCCAAGATGGAGGTGTACGTGGAAACACTGTGCCTCCTCGTACAACCAAATTTAAGAACAACAAAGATTTAGAAACAAAAATGCAACCAGAACAAACAGAAAATTGAACTGTGTGTATGGAATTCGACAACGAACCATTCATCTAGACTGGTAAGAGGGGCAGAGAGGGGTCGGGGCAAGAAAAAGTGGTGGTTGGCAGACCTGGGCGTGGGGAGGAAACGAGGAGACCCAATCCAGTGAGGCACACAAGGAGGTTGGCTGACCGTGGTCATACATTCATGTGCAGATAAACCAGGCAAAAAACTGGCAGTAAGACAGAGAATAAGACAGTAAAACCCAGGGTCCCAGTGCTGAGAAAAAAAGCCTAAAAGCATTGACTGAAAACACTTGTGGGGGTTGAGGTGCAGGGAGAGACTCCCAGCCTCACAGGAGAGTTCGTTGGAGAGACCCACAGGGTCCTAGAAGGTACACAAGCCCACCCACCCGGGAACCAGCATCAGAAGGGCCCAGTTTACTTGCCGGAAACAGCATAGGGGACTAAAATCCAAGAGAGAGCGGAACAAGCACCATCAATCCCTCCCTATCTCTGCCCCCACAGACAGCATCACAACCCAGGAAATGGGTTGTCCCACCCTGGTCAACACCTAAGGCTCTGCCACTCATACCAGGCATGACCAGACCCAAACATTATGGCTCAAACAAAAGAACAAATCAAAGCCCCAGAGCCAGTACTTTTAAGTGACCAAGAGATAGCCAACCTATCAGATGCACAGTTCAAAACACTGGTGATCAGGATGCTCATAGAACTGGTTGATTTTGGTAGGAAATTAGATGAAAAAATGAAAGCTAAACTAAGTGAAATTAAGGAAAATGAACAGGGAACCAACAGTGATGGAAAGAAAACTGCCACTCAAATCAATGAAGTGGACCAGAAGGAAGAAACAACCAAACAGAAAAGAATGAAGAAACAAGAATTCAAAAAAAATTAGGAGAGGCTTAGGAACCTCCAGGACACCCTTAAACATTCCAACATCCGAATTATAGGGGTACCAGAAGGGGGAAAGGAACAGCTACCAGTGGAAAACTTATTTGAACAAATAATAAAGGAGAACTTCCCCAATCTGGCAAAGGAAATAGACTTCTAGGAAGTCCAGGAAGCTCAGAGAGTCCCAAGGAAGGTGGACCCAAAGAGGAACACACCAAGGCACATCATAATTATATTACCCAAGATTAAAATGAGGGAGAGAATTCCAGAAGCATTAAGAGATAAGGGGACAGTCACCTACAAAGGAATTCCCATCAGACTGTCAGCTGATTTCTCAAAAGAGACCTTACAGGCAAGAAGGGGCTGGAAAGAAGTATTCCAAGTCATGAAATCCAAAGACCTACATCCAAGATTGCTCTATCCAGCAAAGTTTTCATTTAGAATGGAAGGGCAGATAAAGCGCTTCTCAGATAAGGTGAAGTTCAAAGAGTTCATCATCACCAAGCCCTTATTATAGGAAATGTTAAGAAAAGATAAAAATATGAACAGTGAAAGGACAGCAAACTCACAGTTATTAACAACCACACCTAAAACAAAAGCAAACTAAGCAGATAGCTGGATCAGGAGTGGAGCCACAGAAATGGAGATCACATAGAGGATTAGCAATAGGGGAGTGGGAAGAGGAGAATGGGGGAGAAGGGACAGAGAATAAGTAGCATAGACAGTGGGGAGAAAATAGACGGGGGGGCAAGAGTAGTGTGGGAAATGTAGAAGCTAAAGAACTTATGACACATAGACATGAACTAAAGGGGGGGAATGTGGGTGGGAGGGGTAGACGGAAATGAAGGGGGGAATGGAACAACTGTAATGGCATAATCAATAAAATATATTTTAAAAAAGAAATGTGTCTGTTCTGACTCAGGCTGCACTTGGGGGCATAGGAGACTTTGCCCTGAAGATGCATAACCCCGGTTTGCACTCTGCGGTGGAGTCACGCTACGCAGGCTCATGCACTAACCCCGAGTGATCCTACATGGGTATCCCAGGGTGCTGGCCAAATTGAAAACTCCTCTCAGAACTACCCAATTCAGAATATTCACACAGCCAAAAGCCTGGTAAAGGCTTACAAAACACATGAGGAAGAAAACCATCATGACTGAAAGTCAGAAAAAATAGCTAAATGTGGTACAAAACAATTTCAGGTCATAAAAAACAATAAATAAACAATATTTTAGAACTAAAATGTGTTACCCTGGCTGGTGTGGCTCAGTGGATTGAGCACCAGCCTGCAAATCAAAGGGTCACCTGTTCAATTCCTAGTGAGGGCACATGCCTAGGTTGCAGGCCAGGTCAGGGACCCAGTGCGGGGTGCGTGAAAGGCAACCACACATTGATGTTCCTCTCTCTTTCTCCCTCCCTTCACCTCTGCCTAAAATAAGTAAATCTTTATTTTTCTAAGATTTTATTTATTTATCTTTAGAGGGGAAGGGAAGGAGAGAACGAGAGAAACATCAATGTATGGTTGCCTTTCGTGCATCCCCTACTGGGAACTGGCCTGCAACCCAGGCATGTGCCCTGACTGGGAATCAAACCGCGATTCTCTGGTTCACAGGCCCATGCTCAATCCACTGAGCTACACCAGCCAGGGCAGTAAATCTTTAAAAAATAAAACTATAATGTGTATAAAGAAAAAAGTGAAAGAGACTTACTAAAAGACAAATTTTAAGAATTAAACAGAGCTTTTAGAAGTAAAAAAAAAAAAGTAAGTAATGTTGGTGATTAACCTTAGATGTAAATTATGTTAGATGGTTAAAAGGAAAAGTATTATATGTCTGATATTCTCAATACATGTAAAGGAGACATTTAAGACAACTAATTATAAAGTCAAGGATAAAGGAGCCTCCACAGTGACAAGGTTCCTACGTTTCACTTCAAATGGTAAGATATGGACACTATGTAGTAGTAGTCTACATAGCAGTAGACTATGGCAAAGGAAAAGCATCCAGTCTCCCCAAACTGATCTTTAAAATCAATATAATTCTTCACAGAATCCCCAGATTTCTTGTATACAGATAAGCTTACCTTAAAATTTATATGGAAATGCAAAGGAACTAGAATAACTAAAATGATGGAAAAAAAGAACAGAATTGGAGAAAACATGCTACCTGATTTTCAGCTATATATCAATATGAATCAAAACAACACAGTATTTTGGGCAGGGCAGACCCACAGGCCAATGGAACAACACAGAGAATGAGACGGATCCATGCGGATATGCCCAACTGATTTGTGACAGGGTGCAAAGGCAATTCAAGGGAGGAAAAACAGCTTTTCTACAAACGGTGCCAAAACAGCTGGCCGTCAAAAGCCAAAAAAATAAACCTTGACCTGAACTTCACATCTTATATATAAATTAACTCCAAATAGATAGTAGGTCAAACATAAAACTGTGAAACTTTTAGAAGAGAACTAAGAGAAAAACTTTATGGCCAAGCTTGGGTAAAGAGTTCTTAGACAGGACACCAGAAGCATCAACCACAAAGGAAAAAAATGGACAAATTACTTTTCTTTTCATTTCTAGGACCCGGTCATTGTCAAAGCTGAAGAACAATTTAAGACAATTTTGCTCAATCTGTTCAACACTAGAAATCTTCTCAGAAGACTGAAAAGAGTAGTTAGAATCTGAGTTCTCTGTTTTATCCTTAAGTAGTAAAGTGGAAAAGAGGGACTTATATATAATTATTTCATTTTAATGGCATTGGCTTAACACCTTTTACCTACAACTTATTATTTTTAAGATCTTTGGGGAAAATCTACAGGGCATTAAATTTAAGAGTTTCGGGGTTAATTCTGGGACTGCTGGTATCAATCAAGGGTTACTGATGAAGGAAAATGGGTCATCTCATGTACTAGAACAAGGCTGACGCAGTACCTTCTTGAACTCTAGCTCCCAAAAGCTTCTCTAACTTGTAAAGCATTACAACACTTAGTGGAATTTAGGTTTATAGAGTTTTACTCTAAATTTAAAACTATTATACTACCAAATGTAATGAAGAGTCCTAGATTATGAAATATTTTTTCACTTCTGCAATCCCAAAACCTAGCAAAGTGCTTGCTAAATAACAGCACAATAAAATTTGTAAAAGAAAAACTCCGCCATTTTCCAAGGG